CGCCGCCGCCCTCGCTGCCGTCGCCGCTGCCGTCGCCCTCGCCTCCACCGCCGTCTACGTCGCCGCCGTCGCTGCCTCCCTCCGCCTCGCCCTCGCCTCCGCCTCCCTCCGCCTCGCCCTCGCCTCCGCCGCCATCAGCATCGTCCTCGCCATCCCCTCTCTCCGCCCCGTCGAAGCCGCCGCCGTCCGCCTCCCCGCCGCCTCCGCCGCCTCCGCCTCCGCCACCACCGCTATCGCCACCCTCGCCGCCGCCTGCGCCGCCGCCCGCGCTGCCACCGCCATCGTCACCCTCGCCGCCGCCCATGCCGCCGCCGCCCTCGCCTTCGCCGCCTCCCTCACCGCCCTGCCCGATCACTGAGGACACCCACCCCTCGACGCTGCCGGGCAGTCCGACCTCGTCGACACCGCCTCCGCCGCGACCTCCCAAGCCGACGAGGTCGTCGCCGCCGTCAACGACATCGAGATCGAGCACGGTTTCGCCACCAGGAACGACGCCAGGCACAGCGCCGCTGCTCAAGCCGCCAGCGCCAGCGCCGCCGCCAAAACCGCCACGCAGGCACTCGTAGCCGCCAGCGACAACACCCACACCATCGTCGCCGACCTCTCCGCCTGCGAGAGGTGAAGGCATGGCATCCGACGCGCATGCTTTCCACAACTCGTAGACGAGATCCGCGTCTCCCTCCTCGTCGCAGCTGGATGCGCCAATGTCCAGCCTCGGCGGCGACTCGGGCCGCTCGCCGGCAACCTTTGCAGCCTTTGCAGGACTTGCAGCCCAGTACTTACGTTTTCTCCACTGGCTGATCGCGACGCCGCGGATCACGTGCACGCCCTCGACGCGGCAAAGTACCGTCTGCACGTCCATGGGGGTCTTGGCCTCGCGTATGGATGGCATGAACTGCCAGGCCAGCTCCTTGCTGTCCGGATGCAAGATTGATTTTCGACACCAGCACGGCTTAAACTTCGTGTACTTCTGATGCTTGTTGGGCATTCGTTTGACTTGCAATCGTCCCAGCTTGGTATGACCTTGGTACGACCCAAATCTCGCCCTCGATTTCTTTCCCAGACTTTTCGGTGCCCGTCGTTTCCACGTTATTTTCAGCGCCGTTTGCGCCCGGACATGATTTTTTTGGCGCTCGGGCATTCCCCTGCGCGATTTCTTTTCACGAGAGCAAGTAGAAGGTGTCCGTCCCCTTCCGCTGACGCTGGAGTCACGGTCCCCGACGCCACGCCAGCCCCAGCTTGCTGCACAGCAACTGCGCCACAGCGGCGTCCCGGCCGCGGCCTGCTTCACCCGCTGTAATTACAGAAATTCTCCTGCTGTAATTGCTTCTACAACAGGCTCAAATCTCGAAAGCCACGCCTCATGCCGATCCTGGCTCTACCACCGCCAATCACACCACCGCCGCCACGCCCACCCCACGCCGTCAGGCCAAGGACGTCAAACAGACCGGGCCTACACCGCGTTATCACCGGCCTTGCCACCGGTACGGTACGGGCGGGGGCCGCACCACCGGCCTCACCGCGCACCACCGGCCTCACCACCACCGCCACCACCCTCCGCACCGCCCCTCCTCCGCCCTCCCTGTTGTCGCAGACGCCTCCCTCGCGGGGATTTACGCCGCCTCTCCGCCGCCCTTCCGCCATCCTCGCCTCCGCCCGCCGCCCTCGCCGCCGCCGCCCTCACACCCGCCGCCGCTGCCGCCGCCGCCGCCGCCACCCTCGCTGCCGCCGCCCGCCCCGCCGCCGCCCTCGCCTCCGCCGCCGTCCGGCATGCCGCCGCTCTCGCCCTCGCCTCCAGCCGCGCCGCCCCCGTCGCCGCCTGCCCGCCCCGGCGCCCTCCCCACGGCGGTGCTGTGCGCGCCTTCGCACAGTGGCGCCACTGTGCCAGTTACTGTCCCTGCGCCAGTGACACCAGAGCCTTTTTTTTCACGGATTCAAGATCAAAGATTACCTGCGCTTCGCTCGCCATCCCGAGATCACCCACACACGACCGTATTACACATTTGCACCCCGACTCACGGTCTCACATTTGCACCCCGACTCAAACCTCTTGCGACGCACCGCGGTGATCACTCGCGTCTTCATCAGCCTCATCGCCGCAGCCCGGCGCTCCGTCGCCTCCGTCGAGCGCCGCGATCGCCTCGGCGACCGTCTCGTCGTCGAGCTCGAGCTCGTCGACGGCCGCGCCCAGCAGGGGCGCGTCTCCCGCCTCGCTCGCGCTCGCCTTGGCGGTCGCCGCCGCCCCGGCCGCGTACGCCGCGTTGCCGATCGCGGCCCGCGCCGAGAGGTTGTACCACGCCCAATACGTCTCCCGGAAGCTCTCGCCCAGCGATGCGGCCGCGCCCACCGCGAGCGGCTCGACGGCTGCGTTCTCGGCCTGTGGTTCGCGCTGCCAGCGCAGCCGCACCGCGCCGCCGCAGTGCACGCACCGCCGCTCCTCGAACCGTGCGACCGTGGTCGGCCACTCGATGGAGGGTCGGCCTGCGCAGTCCTCCGAGCCGCACTCGAGGATGCAGATGTCCTCGCTCCGCCGCCGCACGCGCCCGTACACCTCTGCCGGTGTGCCCGCCGTCGGAAGCACGTGCAGAGCCCCCACACGCAGGATCGAGCCCTGCAGCTTCGCCGGAAGCTTCCGCAGCATCCGCAGCTCGCGCGTGCGGTCCCTGCGATCCAGCCCGAACGCGATCGCGTCGTCCTCCGACCGAGGGGCCCACGCGTGCGTCGAGAGCATCGCCATCCGCAGCGCCGGCGCAGCGCGCAGCCGCTCCTGCCCCTCCTTGTAGAGCCGAAGCTGGTGCGCCTCCACCGCGTCGCTCTCCGCCTCACCCTTCCGATGGCGGAGCCGGAGCTGCGCCGCCTCGTACTCGTCCACCTCCTCGCCGCCACCGGCCGCACGCGCGCTCGCCTTGAAATACTTCGGCAGCAGCGCGACGCCGAGCCGCCGCTGCAGCTTGCGTCGTGCGCTCGCCACCTCCTCCACCGCCTCCGCCACCTTCGCGTCGCTGCGCGCCGCCTGCCGCTCCGGGCACGCCTGCGGCAGGTCGCCGAAGCCGCGCACGCCACCCACCTCCGGCACACGCGACGCCGAGAGCGACGTCAGCGGCGCGCGCTCCACGCTCCCGAGCGCGTCGCGCCGCATCCAGTAAGCGCCGAGATCGCGCGTGCGCAGGTCTGCGCGATACACCCGATTCATCGTCCGAGAGTTGACCTGGCGGTGGCCCAGCACTCGCGCAGCGACGGCGCCGTCGCCCGCCGACGCCGGCTGCTCGCACGCGTCTTTGCGCAGGCTCCACGCGCCCACCTTATGCCGGCTCATGCCAAGCTGGCGCCCCGTCTCGATCAGGCGCCGGCAGAGTCGCTGCACGTCGAAGCTCTCGGTGAACAAGAAGAGGCCCGTCGCCTCGTCGACGCCTGGGAACAGAGGCCGGTCCAAGGCCGCCTTGTCGAGCACCCAGCCATCCGCTCGGCACGCCGCCACTAGCGCCGGGAGCGTCTCGTAACCCGTGTCCGCCAGCTCGAGCCCGGCGAACCCGCTCGGCTCGGCCACCTTGCGACGCAGCGCCGCCGCGCTCGCTTCGCTCAGCTTCGAGTAGCACGCCCTGAAGCTTCCGCAGCGCAGCAGCAGGCGCACCATCGCCAGCGTCCCGATGCGCATCATCTGGTCCGAGTCGGGCGTGATCGCCGTCCCAAACTCGTAGCACGCGTAGTACTCGCCCTTCTTCCGCGCAAAGGTCACCTCCATCCGGATGAGGGCCTCGAAGTCGCCCTCGGTCATCACGCCCGCCCCGCCTAGTCCCCGCAGCAGCTCATCCGCGGCGATGGACAGGTCGCCCATCGTCAGCGGCGGCAGCTCGTGCCTGCCGGCGAGCGGCACGGCTCAGTGTCATCTCGCCCCATCGCACGCCAACGCCACCGTTCTACTCGCCTCTCTCTCTCTCTCTCTCAGCGGGAGACGCGCGCCAGTGGCTGTCCGAATCGGCCGCGTCCGCCGCGTCGTTCACCGCCATGCCCGGCCGGCACCCGGTCTGCCGCGCGAAGCACAAGTAGGCGTTCATGATGAAGGCCACGTTCACCTCGAACGGCTCCATCAGCTGCGTGTCCTGCATCTGGTACTCTCCCACCTGGAAGAGGTGCTGCTTCGTGCACGGCTTCGTCGTCGCCTCGCGCAGCTCGGCCATCGTCCGCCGGCTCGCCACCGCGCTCGCCCTCTCGCTCGCCGCCCGCTGCGCCGCCTCACTCTGCCCGTGCGACGCGCTCTCCTGCGCCGCCTCGCGGCCCGCCGCCCGGCCGGCGGCTCCTGCCGCGTCCTTCATCCCGCCGCCGCCGCCGTCGTACAGCGACATCACCTGCTTGGTCACCAGCCGCCAGTACTGCCTCGCGTCGTCCGGCATCGCCGGCCAGATCTCGCGCCACACGTGGTTCTTCATGTGCTGCAGCGCGACGTAGACCGTGTTCTCGCCGCGCCCCGTGCGCACCGTCGGCTCCTCGTCCCGCGCGTCGCCCCGCTCGGTCGCGTGCCACCGGCTCGCCCTCGGCGCGGTGATTCGCGTCGTCGCCAGCCACTTGCCGAAGCGGATCGTCCACCGCACCGTCGGGTGCAGACCGAGGGCCGTCCGCTGCATCGGCACGCTCTTCCCCGCCGCGGCCTGCGTCGCCAGGAACTCGCGCAGCCGCAGGCGCACGCGCCGAAGCTGCACCGACAGCGCCGGCCCGTGTGGCGCTAGCATCGGCCGCCCATCGCCGCACGCGGCCTCCTCCTGCCGCTCGTCATCCTCCGCCTCGAGGGCGTCCGCCAGCGCGCTGCGCCGCACACCCCGGCGCACAGGAGGCGGCGCCGGCCGCACCTCGGCCGCCTCGGCGTCGCCCGCGGCACGGGCGCCCCGCTCGCCGTCCGCGCGGTCCATCGCCGCATCCCCATCCCCGTCTGCGGCAGCGCCGCCTGCGCCCGTGCCGGCCTGCTCTGCGACGGCTCGCCACCGCTCGTCGTCCAGCATGTGCCACCACCGCCGATCCGGGTAGCCGTCGTACTCGACCTGGTGCGCGATCCGTCCGTCCCCGTCCTCCTCCCGCGCCATGACGGTCGCAGGGTACCACCGCTCACTGTCGCAGAAGATCTCGAGGCGCGATCCGGTGGACAGGACAGTGTGGCCGTCGAGCGCCGCCCTGGCATCCTCGCGCTGTCGCTTCCGCCGCTTCGCCTTCGTCTCCTTGCTGCGCAGCAGGGTGTAGTTCGGGCCCACCTCCGCCACGCTGTCCAGCAGCTGGGCGGCGCTCGCCATCTCGACCGCGTCGTCCTCCGGCGGAAGCTCCGCGTCGCCCGCGGCCGCTTCCCGAGCGCGCTCGTCGCGCATCCGCTCGTGGTGGGCCTGCCGACGCGCCACGCCGGCGCCCGTGTGCCTCGCCGCCGCGTCCGGTGACGGCATCGGTCGCTGCCAGGTCGTCCCACAGGTCGTACCAACAGGTCGTCCCAAAGGGGACGCATCCAAACCGCCGCATTTCGCCCGCCGAAAAGTCTCCCACTCGCTCTGCCCCAATCTCGAACCAATCTCGAGTCGTCTCACTAGTTACATACATAACATCATGATATGCCCGTCTTGCACCCCGATGACGGGCCCGAGTCACCAACCGGGCCTGGGGAGGTGCCGCAGCGCCTCCGGCGGGCAGAGCTTGTGCTGTCGCATCGGTGCGGCGACATCCTGCTGGTACTCGACAGGGTGTGCGACAAGCACAACATCCAGGCCGTGATGCGCACGGCGGAGGCGCTCGGGGTGCAGAACCTGTGGACGGTAGCGCCAGAGTATTTCAAGAACCTCGCGGCGAGCGAGGTGTACGTCCCTCCGGCCGACGCACCGAAAGATCTGCCGCCGCACGCGCAGATTGTCGGGCAGCTGCATATCTTCATGAAAGAGAGGGAACTCGGCTTGCCGTCGTACACCGTTAACAACATGGCCCCCCGCGGGTTTGGGGACATGTGGCGTGTGACGTGTACCCTACCCGACGGGACCACGGTGGTCGGGAGGGGGGACAAGACGAAGAAGACGGCAATGCGCTACGCTGCGGAGGAAGCCATGAAGCTCGTCAATCCCGAATACAAACCACCGCATGTCTCGACGGGCATTGCAAACGCCCTCAACCCAGACCGCCCGACCTCAAGCAAGGAGTGCTTTCCCCGGACTACGAGCGTGTCGAAGGGAGCGGATCGATGGCTAAGCATGCGGAAAATTCACGACCAGCCAGGAGTGCCTCAACGCGATGAAGCAGGAGGGGTGGACCATCTGGGCCACCGCGTTCTCGCCGACGGCCCTCAAGCTGTCGAACACGCTGCCGGCGGCGGAGCTGCCGCAGAAGCTGGCCATTGTGATCGGCGGGGAGGCGTTGGGGGTGTCCGATGAGATCCTGACGGGATGCGACCGGCAAGTGTTCCTCCCAATGTACGGATTCACAGAATCCCTTAACCTCTCCGTCGCGACCGCTATGATTCTGCAGCGACTGTTCGACCTCAAGTACTGCGGCTCGGCGAGTACCGAACGCGGCGCGCTCTCGGCAAAAGAAAAGAATGATATCCGTACGAAGTGGTGGGACCACCTCGCGGCGAACCCCACGGCGCGGGCGCGCCTCGACGACTTCACGGACCAGTTCCACTCCGCCGAGCTCGCGCCTCTCACTGACGTGCGCGACCACCGGGAGGACGATCGGAAGCACTTTGCCGAACTCGTAACGAAGAAGTATTGGCGACCCGACGGCGCCGCAGGAACGGGAAGCGAAGCGGCTTTTGGCAATGCGGTGCCTCTGACAGGAATGTTTGTGGCCGGTGCCTTGACGGCATTGGTCCTCCAGCGTGTGGTCCGCTCGAGGCAATAGTGAGGAAAGATTTCTCTCACCTCGCCGCCACCCCGTGACTCTCTTCACGATCGGGTCTGATGAAGTGGAAGGGTTCAAGTCATAGGGCAATAGTCAAGTTTTCCGGACCACACCTCTCCCTATTTCAATGGCCGCATGCCTGTCTCTGGGCCGGCGCGGGGCCCCCCGGAGGACTAGGTCCAGCCCTGGGTGGCGCAGGTTGTGACATTTGGCGATTCCGCGACTTACTGGGCCCCTGAGCCGCTACCCGTGTGCGATTTTTTGTGGCCCGGGCATGATACTGATAGTAAACGGGTCAGAACCGGCCAAACACAGGCTACAGCCCCACACACGCGCCCGCCATAGCTCCTGGAGAGCATGCGCGAGTGACGCGCTACAAGCCGCGAGAGTGGCATCAGAGGCAGGAACGACGTGCTCTTGCTGCACCTCGCAGCTGCACCGAGTGTGCTCGCAGTGTATGCCACGGCCACCGACTGCGGCATTGCTCTCGTGCAGCTAGGCGACGCAGGTCCATCAGCAGGGCTCATCCAATGCGAGCGCACATTGTGCGTAGCCGCAGGCAGGTGGCAGTGCACGGCCGCACACCGGCTGTGGCGGCTCGTATGCCCCCGGCAGTGCTGCTAGTCATTAACTTGCGTATTAGGGCCGCAGCAGACTGCTGCTGTGGCAGCAGCAGCAGCAGCCTGCTGCCTGATTCAGTCAAGCCAGCGGCGCAGTGAGGCGTGCAGAATTTGCGTGGTTTTGTTCCTCCTGAGGCTGAGCGCATTCGAGCCCTTCGACCGGAGTTGGATGGTACCACGCGTCTCACTGAGACGCGGGGTACTGGCCATGGCCGGACTACGGAGCGTGAGGTGGCGAGCGGAGCGAGCGACAAAACAACGAGAAAAACACGGATCTGACGATTGTCACAGAACGTCAGATCTTGCGCCACCCAGGGCTGGACCCAGTCGGAGGCACCGTGCGCCGCGCCGCAGTGCGGAAACGGGGCTCCGGCTCTATGAGTCTCTATGAGCACCGACTTCCCGATTAAGTACGGTTAAGTAGAGGGCAGATTTGGAGAGATCTCGAGGAGTACATACAGATAGACCCTCCAACCATCAGAAAACTCCGACCTGATCGGTCGTACTGACCGCCGACAGATCACTCCAGACAGCAGACAGGCCGACGTCTGCACGCGGCCGGCCGGGCGAGAGGCTTGACACGATCCGACCCTGCGACCCTGACGCTGCTGCTCTAGCTATCAGCCATGCACTGCTGACTGCTGCCACAATGTGCGACCTGTGCTGGCCCACTTGGCGGCCTTCCCGGTCAGTGGTGAGGTGCAGTTCAGAGCTGTCGATGGCGCGATGCCGCACTGGTCCCACATTGGTGACACGAGACCACCAAGTTTGCAGGTCCAAGAGAGAGGCACCGGCGCTGTCCTGAGAAGGTGCGTGGTCCCTCTTGACTGCCCATGCGCGCGAGGCTGTGTAGGCATAGCCTCGAGAGTGCCAGCAGCCAATCCGAGGTGACGCGCATTGCGCCAGAAGCGTGCACGCAGCTGGAAGGACACCTTCCTACTGGCCGATCGGTCGTCACTGAATGCTTGATACTAAGGCCGCGAGCTATGCAGGTGATCAATTGTGCAGCATGGCACGGTCAGCAGCGCCGACAGGCTGTCGCAAGGCGTGATAGCATGGCCGCAAGTACGCCGAATTCCCATGAAAACAAGTAAAAAATCGCGAAAAAAGAAAAAAAACTGCAAAAAATCGGCGCCTGCGGCGGGCCATGGGACCCCATCTCCCCCCCGCATGGACACCCTCTGGGGCCCCCGCGCCGGCCCAGAGGTGCCTGTGGACCGTGCCCCGGGGTCGTGGCTGGGGGTATAGTGAGAAGGAGCAAGGTAAGGTGGCCATCCTGCCCCGTACAAGGCCCCCACATGCGAGACCGACCACCCCATCCCTCCCGAGCGTGCCCCGCTCCCGCTCACCTCGAGAACCTCGAGAGAGAGAGAAAAGAATTCCGTGAAGCGAGCCGCCGAGAGCTGTTTGTCACGCCTTGTTTGGGCGGCTGCTTCTGGGTTTTATGGGTCTCACCGCCCGCCTGCTGCGCTCGTGCGTTGAGACGCTCGTGGGCTTCGTGCTCTCGCCAGCATTCTGTTTGATTATCCTTCCAATACACGTTCTCCTATTCTCGCCATTCATCGCGCTCGGCCTCTGCAGCTCCGACGCTGCTGTTGGCGTGCCTCCCGCCCTCCTCGCCTGGCGTCGCCTTCCATATCTGATTCCGATGGTGCTCTTCGTCGACCTGCCGATTACCATCTTATTCTTAGCGACAAATCTGATCGAGGGTCTCTTCCTCCGGAACTCTCTCACCCTCGCCGTCTACAGCCTCTGCCGAGGCAGCTCACAGCTCCCCTACCGCGAGCCGACGCTCCCCGACACCGAGGCAGGTCTTCACGCTCGCGACCGGTCGCGCCCAAACACCATCGACGGCGCCCGCTACCGCGGGCACGACTCCGTCTGGGCTGCCCTCGAGGGCGACGGCGACAATGTCCGGCCGGGAGATGTGCGGCTTATCAGTCTGAAATGGCTCATGGCGCTGGCAGAGCGGGGCGGCGTGCTCCCGCGGCGGCAGGACCTGCCAGACGAGGCCTTCTTAAGCTCTGCTCAGCTGAGGCGGATCGAGCAAGGCGCCAGGCGCGGCTTTGACCTCGCCGGCTTTGTGGAGGCCTTTGAGCGCTTCAGCAAGGAGCCCTCCCTCTCATCCTTTCTCGGCTTTTGCGCGAGCTTTTTCGGCCGCAAGCGCAACCCCGACCGGCTGCTTCCGATCATCTCCGTCTCCTACTGCTGGCTCGAGGCGGCGCATCCAGATCGTGAGGGCCGCCAACTCCAGCTGCTCTCCCGCAAGCTGCGGGGCCTCTATGGCGGGCGAGGCCTGCTCGGCGCGTGCCGCGAGTACGGCTTCTCGGACATGGTGAGCTGCCTCCCGCACCTTGCCTATCGCCACACTCATCCTCACCGCCACTCCATTCCTGGCTCGCGCAGGGCGTGTTTCTGGACTGGAGCGCAGGCTACCAGAAGGACCCTGCGCTGTTTGCCGAGCGGCGCGCGTATGAGGCGAGCCGGTCGGCCGCGGAGAAGGCCGCCTTCGATCGCATGCTGGACAACACGATGGTGAGCACACGCCAGCCCCTTTCCCAGCCCGATAGCGCCACAACATGCACAACTCTCACGGCACGTTGGCTTTACCTTTCGCGTTAGGACCTCTGGTACGCGCACGCCTCGGTCACGGTCGTGCTGCTCACGCAGCTGCCCGACGAGCTGCCCGCCGGCTTTGACCGGAGCCGGACCTACGACACTCGCGGCTGGACGACATTCGAGCGGTGCTCCGCAGAGCTGGGCGCAAAGCTCTCTAAGCTGGGCTTTGCCAAGTGGAAGCTCGTCATCGACGTCGCCAGCGACGACGGCGGCGCTCAGCGGCGGCTCCCCGCGACTCCGGAGCGCATGGCGACGCTGCTCGCCGCTTGCCGCTTCACCAACGGCGCCGACTCGGCGACCGTGCTCGCGCTCTACAAAAAGACGGCGAAGGCAGTGCTGGGCACAGTCGAGAAGCTCTACTACTATGGGCTGCCGCTCGTGCGTGGCGACGCGTGGACTAGCCCGGCGCTGCTGGCTGAGGCGCTGAACCATTGCGAGAGCCTCCGGACCCTCATCCTAACTGGGAATCGCCTCGACGACGAGGGCGTGGCGGAGCTAGCGGCGGGGCTCGAGGACGCCGCGCTCCCGGCGCTTGAGTCCCTCTACGTAGGGTCAAACCGCTTCGGCGCGCGCGGCGTCGGCGCGCTCTGCGGCGTGTTCCATCGCGGCGTGGCGCCGACGCTGCAGATGCTCAACGTCGGTTCCATGCCTATTGGCGACGAGGGAGCCGTGGCGCTAGCAGCGGCGCTGGCGACGGGGAAGCCGTCGCATGGACTGCACTTGGGGTGGTGCGACGTGGGCGACGAGGGCGCGATGGCACTCGCGGCTGCCCTCCCGGCCGCGGGTCAGGGATGTCGCGTGATAGCCTCGAACAATCGGATCGGCCTCGCGGGCCAGGTGGCACTGGTAGATGCACTCGAGGCGAAGCACGGGCCGCAGCTGGGGAATGGCATGGCGGTGCAGCAGATGAACATGCTTCCCTGGTTGTACCCGCTCGTGCGCGCGTGGGGGCGAGGCTGGCGCCGTGTGGTCGAGAGCGGCCGATTCACTATATGTAAAACGGCACACCTCTATGATTGAATGGAAAAGAACGCTAGTAAGGTACACTTGCGGGCAAACTCGTTTTACAAGAAGAGGGCTGGTAGCTACCAAGTTCAGTGATTTAAGAGAGCTGCACGTCGCCTCCGCCTCCACCTCCTCCCGCGCCGCCAGGGCGGCCGCGCTGCCATATAACTCCCAGAACTCCCGGTATCTCCCCGCATCTCCAAGCCTGCACGGCCCACACGAGCAGGTGCCATAGGCTGTGGCTGTGCAGCGGCGACCGGTCAAACGCGGACGACGCGGGGAGCAGGCTCTCGGGCCAGTGTCGCAGCTTGAGCAGGAGCGCGGCCGGCAGCACCGCGGCGGAGAAGAGGGCGGGGGCGTGCTCAAACGCCCACGATGTTGTGGAGGGGACATATGCTGATGATCCTGGCCCGATTGGTTCGCTCAGAAGCTTCTGGGCGGTCGTTAAGGTTCGCTCCCCGCACACCGGCCCGGAAGTATGTTACATCATAAAGGACGGCTCTTGTTCTGACGCCCACTGGCACTGCTATCATTTGCCGCCAACTCATATCGTTGCGCAGGTCCACTCTCTCTTCGGACACTTGTACCTCCACAGATGACGCTGGCGCTGGGGTCCCCGTGTGTATCGCGCGCCTTGCGGGGGGGGGGCGCGGAAAAGAGGAACCTCTTAGCGTCATCGCCATGGTGCTGCAAGCAGCGCCGGGCGACGACGACTTACCGCCTCCCGGTCCACCTCGGCACACCTCCGCTGCTCAATGTTTGACGACTCGAACCCATGAAGCTTCCCCGTGCGCGGGTTACCCCGCACACAGGTCAGCCTGCCAGCCACGTATCCACGCAAGCGTGGTCCGCGCGCATGGCATACAGGCGTTCGCCAGACAGCGCAGAGGCTTTTCCTTGCTAGGCGACCGGGGAAGGACTAGCTCAAGGGCAACACAGCGTCACCAGCCGTTGGCGCGCAGAACGAGTCTGCGGCCCCCGGTTGGGACGAGTGCGCGACGCGGACGAACCGCTCAATGTGGCCGGCAGCTCGCGCTGCCGGCGGGGTTGGTTGGGGAGAACCGGCACGGGGAAGGCCGGCCTCCCCGGAGGGGTCGCCCCCTGGAGGGGCCCCAAAGGGCCCCCCGGGGGGGCGGGGGCCCCCGCCCCGCGGGGCGGGGGCAGGTTCGTCGCTTAGCGCGATGGAGTTAACCCTTGCGTTTTATAAATTCTTTTTCTCGGGCGACGGCTTCTGAGGAATCGGCGCCATGAGCGGTAAAATTCTTTTCCTCGCGATGTCTGCCCCGCCGCGCCGCCGCTCGCGCCGCCTCGCCACAGCCTCCACCGCCGCGCCCTCGCCCGACACGCCGCCGCCCGCCCGCCTCCTCGACCTCCCCACGGACCTCCTCGTGCGCGTCATCTCTCGCTGCGACCCCGCCGACATCGCTCGCGTCGCGGCCGTCTCGCTCCTCTTTCACGCCTCGCTTGCGGTGGACGCCATCCGCTTGTGGGCGCAAGAGCGCGGCTTCGAGCTGCCGGCGCTGCCGGAGGGCGAGTGCGCCGTGCGGTGGCTGTGCTACTCGGCGCTGCTGCGCGAGTCCAACCCGCCGGCGAGGGCGGCAGCAGGCCATCAGCACAGCGTTTTCATTGACGGCGAGGGGCGGCTCTCGTCGTGCGGCAAGGTGGACATGTGGACGCCAGGCCTCCTAGGCCACGGTGCGGGCGTAACGCGGCTCAACACGCCGACCCGGCTGCCGTCGGGGCTGGGCGGCGAGCGCGCCGTGAGTGTGTCGGCTGGAACATGGCACAACCTCGCCCGCACCGGCAGCGGCACTGTCTGGAGCTGGGGCGAGGGAGGCGTGGGCCAGTTGGGCCACGGCGACGCGCTGACCGAGTGGCAGCCCAAGAAGATCGAGGCCTTGGCTGGCCAGCGCGTCGTCGCTGTGTCGGCTGGACGCTTCCACAGCCTCGCTATCTCCGCCGACGGAGCCGTCTGGAGCTGGGGCAGTGGAGCCTTTGGCCAGCTGGGCCACGGCGACCAGCAGGGCCAGCTGCTTCCAAAGAAGGTCGAGGCCTTCGCTGGGCGGCGCATCGTCGCTGTGTCGGCTGGAAAGCACCACAGTATCGCCCTCACCGCCGACGGCGCCGTCTGGAGCTGGGGCTGGGGAGCCGGTGGCCGGTTGGGCCACGGCGACGAGCAGACGCAGCTGCTGCCAAAGAAGATCGAGGCCTTTGCTGGCCGGCGCATATTAGCTGTGACGGCTGGAGACGCGCACAGCCTCGCCCTCACTGCCGACGGCGCCGTCTGGAGCTGGGGCTGGGGAGCCGGTGGCCGGTTGGGCCACGGCGACCAGCATAGGCAGCTGCTGCCCAAGAAGATCGAGGCGTTTGCTGGCCAGCGCGTTGTCGCTCTGTCGGCTGGACTCGCGCATACTCTCGCCACCGCCGCCGACGGCAGCGTCTGGAGCTGGGGCGCTGGTATCCATGGCATCTTGGGCCACGGCGTTGAGGAGAGGCAGCTGCTGCCGAAGAAGGTCGAGCCGTTTGCTGGCCAGCGCGTCGTCGCTGTGTCTGCTGGAGCCCAACACAGCATCGCCCTCACCGCTGACAGTGCCGGCTTCACGTGGGGCAAGGGCGGCAGTGGCAGCCTAGGCCACGGAGAGGACCTGTCGAATCAGCTGCTGCCCAAGAAGATCGAGGAGCAGAGGGGCGGGTGATCCGCGACGTTTTTTTCCGCTCGCCGCCACAAAGGATGTGTCAGGGACAGAGAGTCGAGAGAGAGAGAGAGAGCGGACAGGGTGGTGCTCACACGCAAAACTTAAGGAATCGACACCGAATCGCGATGTGCAAAGCATACAATACTTGTGAGAGTGACTTGTGTCGAGTCACGTCGAGTGCAGGTGATTGCGAACGCGTGGCTAATGAGGCATGTTGTGTGAGTATATGGGACAAAAGCGTCGAAAATGTCCCAAAAAAGCGTGTCTCGAGTTTGTGGCAGCCCCACAGCCGGCGCGCGCTGCCAGGAAGCACCGCTCGAGTGTCGGCCGCACTCCCTGGCACCCAGTGAGTGCGGCCGACCGACCAGACCGATTAGGCTCGATGCCGCGCTCGCTGTGGAGCTGCCACAAACTCGCCGCCGAGCGTGCCACCGACGGCGTCCTGGCGGAGGTGGTGGAGTTTGAGACCTGAGGCTGCGGAGGTGACGCCTGAGGTACCGGGCCGTGCACGGCGACTCAGCCGGCGACCGCCACGGGCTCAGACGAGACTTGTCGACGCGTTCCGGCTCAGCTTCACCGTGGTCCTCGGGCGTCTGTCGACGTCAGGACCACCCATACAGCTCGCGGGTTTGAGGTCGCAAGAGCCAAGATGGTGGCGTTTGGACATCCCAACCATCACACAAGACAGCCTGTAGGTGGTGGCGGGACGGCGCAGTGTTTGTGGCACTCGGCAGTAGGCACCCGCGGCACGGCCCCGCTGTCGGCTCTCGCGGGCTGCGGAACCGGCCCCAGAGGGGGACGGTCCGGGCGAGTGTGGCAGCTCCTGCGCTAGTATGGGCAGCCTCTATCATAGCACTACTGATCCTGGTCATTAGAGCTGCCAGGGATAGCGTCAGGAGCCGGTAGGAGTCAAAACCCCTCATATTTGAGACATCGTGTCCCATATACTCGCACAACGAGCCATGAACCCATGAAGCAGCAGTGATCCGCAGCTCTTCTTTTCACGACGGATCAGTGGTGTGTGTCGTGACTCTCGCCAATTCTTGACCTTTTTCGTCTGGGGCGCCGGAATTTGATTCATTCGGGCGTCTCACTTGTGTGGTAGCAGGATCAGATACCTGAGAGCGAGCTGTGACACCGGCAACACTGTGTGAGAATCACCTCCACCCAGCCCCACCTCAGCACCCCTATTATCACACACTCCCCCCCCCCCCCCCCCACAGTGATGAATAATCTACCTATATCCCTATATTCCCACACCCTGTGCAGTGGCACGTCTCGCCACCTATGTCCTTAATACTGGCACCTTGGGCGCCGACGGCGCCCAAATATTGGCACGTAATAGTTTCCCGACTGCTTTCGCTGGGCGGCACGCGCTGCGAGACAGTCGACCTCTTTGTTGTGGTGTCACAACTCGGTGCATAATTGCGCCACTCCCCCATCGGTACATAATGGTGCCTTCGTACTTTGAATACCTTCTACAAATATGTCAGCCTCGGATGAGGACCAGGCTCGCCCTGTCGCGGGAATTCCATCACCCGCAACCAACGCACGTGACCGCGTGCGACTCACTATCACCACAATACATGCTGGGCACCGATCTTCGGGTTCAGATGACGATCTCTCGGCGAACGAGAGAAGAGGGACGCCTCGCGATACTACAGAGGGCCGCGACCAGGATTCTCCACGGTCAGACCACTCTCATCCCTACCACACACTGCCTATATGGCGCTGCGCGCGCGTGCTTTGGGGGGCGTTCAGCTGGGACACGCTTCAACCGTGGTCTCAGTTCCGGAGAATTTGTTTTTAAATTCCCACGCCACGCCCTCTACAGGGCGTTGCGCGTAAAAACAAACAACAGCCTCGCGCTTCGTCTCCGCCTCAACGCCTTTCGCCGGCAAGGCCTTCGATGTCCGTGTCGACGGTTCGTACGTGGTACGCCACTGCCCTCTCCTCCGACACCCTCCAGGACGAGCTCCAGCGGAAGCTCGGCCTTTGGCTCTCCGCGGCGCTTCCCACCCTTCGGGTCGCGAGCGGGGCATGCCAGTCGATTTCTTCGGCGACTACCTTTACAACAAGGCCCACCACCGGCGGCCCCACGACGGCGTCCTCGCCGCCTGGGCGGACGCGATGCGCGCCCCGGCCAACGCGCCGGTCGTGCACGGCGACAAGGAGAAACCAGAGCTCACCCGGCAGTACAACGAGGGGTACAAGACTGACCTCGCAGAACCCCATGCGGGACCGGGGGGGTGCGATGAAGTGAATGAAATCAAGCTCTGGACGCCCCTCCTCAAGACCTCCTCGGCGGGCGTTGGCAACGCCTCGAGCGGCGGCACGCCCGCCTCCGTTGGCCACTCCTACGCCTTCGGCAACACCGAAGAGAAGGCCCGCCGCCTAAACATGGGCTGCAAGGCGCGCGGGCAGCCCGGCCAACCCTTCGACCACAAGACCGGCCACGGCTACGTCAGGGCGCATCGCGGTTTCTACCACGACGCGATCTTTGTCAAGCGCAACAACTTCAACCTGCTGCTCCACGAGACGTTCGGCGGCGGCTTCTCGCCCACCGCCGTTCTCAAGCTGCGCCGCCTCGCGCGCAAAGTCGCGCGCGGCAGCGTTGACCGCACAGCCTACTCGCCCAAGTACTCGCTCTCTTTTATGTCCCACCATGCAGAGCGCATCTCTCTCTCTGTTGTGCGAGGCGTGAACCGCGCCATTCGCTCTCACCTGGCAACCCTGTCTGCACGTCTCGCGCGCGCGTGAACAGGCCTCCAAATGACGTGTGAGTGTTAGAGTGGTTTGGTATTGCTAAAAATCTCTCTCTCGTAAAAATCCTGAGAGCACTTGGAGCACTTGGAGTGCAGTCATCAACCTCACATCCAGGGCCGGGGAGCTACGAAGCGCACCCAGCGGGCCGGATGATCGGCATCGGGCTACGGGCTAGAGAGCCCTGACCCATAGGGGGGGTGCGCGTTCGCAGGCGCGAAGTTTGTTTTTCCGCGCGTCTCACTCGAGGTGTGCTGTTGTGCAAGCCGCTGTGCTCTCGCGGTGCTCTTGGCGAGCCGCTGTGCTCTCACTCGAGCCGCTGTGCTCTTGGCGAGCCGCTGTGCTCTCGCGGTGGAAAGAGATCAGATGGCGCTCCGCATCCCTCCGACGGTAGCTGACGTGCCGGGCTATCAGCTGCAGCGGCCGCCGCTCCCGCTCATCTACACGCCTCGCAGCTGCGGCGGCGCCGCGCCCTCGTGTGACTCGCTCTTGTGCATGCACAAGCGCGAGCTGCGGCGAGCGAGTCGCAACGTTAGCTACAAGGCGGCGCTGTGCGGTCGGTGCGAGTGCGCCCTCTGCCTCGCCTGCGCAAAGCCGCGCAACCTGTGGAAGGCACCTTCGGGGCAGACGCTCGAGACGGTCACCACGCGCACCGACCCGCCCTTCACGTTCGCTTACAACCCGGCCGACGCCGACATGAAGCGGATGCGGGAGCAGCTCGTGCTCGAGCCGCTCCTGACGCACGCGTGGCATGAGGCCACCTGGCGCTGCTGCGGCAGCGGCGGGCTCGTCGTCGACGTCGGCGGCAACTTTGGGTGGTACACGCTGTACAGCCTCGCGCTCGGCTGCAGGGTGGTCGTCTTCGAGCCGGTGCCTCTCTTCCGAGAGGCTCTGCGGCTGGGCGTGACACTCAACCCGGGCTTCGCGGCGAGGGTGAATAGGGTTTGTGGAGCGTCCAGAGATGTCCAGAAGGTCCAGAAGGTGTCCAGAAGATGTCCAGAAGGTGTCCAGAAGATGTCCAGAAGGTGTCCAGAAGGTTGGAAAAGAATGTGGGAACGTCTAGAGAGTCCTTTGCAGGTGTGCAGAAGGCCTCAGGTGTTGTAGAAGGTCTCACTCAGTCAGGTAAAGCCGTAGGTCACACGTGTCTCAAAGAGTCGCCTCCACCGAGTGAGTGAGCAACCCGGTCAGTCAGTGGCTCATGGGCAATGAAAAGGAGACATTGTGGTTTGCTGATGAAGGCCTGCGGGCCTTCTGGACATTCTGGACATTTGCTAAAGCTTGCTAAAGCACCTTCTGGACATTCTGGACATTGCTAAAGCTTGCTAAACACCTTCTGGACATTCTGGGCATTCTGGCGCGAACCGCAAGTCCCCCCCCCCCCCTTCTGACATTCTCGCGTCGCGTCCGTCGTGGGTGGGCTGGGCCGGCAAAACCAGCCAGGCAAGCGCGCGAGGCAGATGCAGGTCCTGGTGGTCGGGAATGCCGCCAATCACCCCGGCGGCACCACCGCCGCAACCAGTTCGCCGGTGACGAGCAAGCGGGCTGAGCAGCCCGGGTGGACCCGGTGAGGCGGAGCGGGTGTCGGGCAGCAAGCGCGTGCCCGGAGGGTGAGGGTGCAGTTTTTTGCATGTTTGTTGTTGTGCACCGCCTTTAGATGTAAAAATCACATATTCAGTAAGAGTCTGAAGGGGAGGGGAGTTGTACAGAACGTCCAGAATGTCCAGAAGGTGTCCAGAAGATGTCCAGAAGGTGTCCAGAAGATGTCCAGAAGGTGTCCAGAAGGTGTCCAGAAGGCTTCTGGTCAAAATGCAGCTATTTAACCCTTCACCATTTGAGAAGCCCAGCTCCCCACCCCTGGCTTAATTAGTAGTAGATCTAGATCTTTCAATTGTGCCGCTCTCAAATCTAGTCTGGTTCAGAATGGCGTCCGCGGTCCCGAGATATTACGTAACAAAGGTTTCTCTGGACGCTCCACAAACCCTATTGGTGGAGCTCTACGGCAACGTCGTCTACGACACGCCAGGCAACTACACGCTGCGTGTCCCGCTCCCGGGCGGGATGCACAAGAAGAAGCTGGGCATGACGGGGATGAATGGGGCGCGAGGCATCCTCAAGTCGGACTACAACGCAAAGGCCGCCACCGTGAGCGCGGGCGCCGTGCGGATTGACGACGTTTTGCGCGGGCGCGACGTGTGCTTGCTCAAGGCCGATGTCGAGGGCTACGAGCCGCAGGTGATGCAGACGGCGCAGACGCTGCTCGCGACACGCGAGGTGCCCAACCTGCAGCTGGAGCACATCTAATCTCGGCTAATCTCGGCTGATCTCGTCTAGCCTCTCGGCCCTGTGTCTCGGCAGGTGCCCAACCTGCAGCTGGAGCTCTCCCGCACGCGCAAGGACGCGGAGCAGACGTGCGCCGCCGTCAAGATGCTCTCGCGCCTCTCCTCGCTCGGGTACGAGTTTAAGCAGGTGCCCAACCAGCTCGTCGACGCCGAGCTGCCGCCGCCCGACAGCTGGCAGCAGGCGGCCGGCCCTTGGGCTCGGCTGCCAAGCTTCCCCACCGCCGCCACCGCCGCCGCCGCTGCAGCGGGCGGCGAGCGGCGGCCGAAGATGCAGCTCGCGTACGACATCGACTTTGCGACGCACTCGACGAACCTCGTCGCCCGGCGCCGCAGCACACCGCTGGGCGCCGCGAGCCTGCCGTGGCCCTCGCTCGGGTGCTCAGCGTGAGAGCCTGGTTGCGCGCGGCGTGCCCCGGCCTTCCGTCTTCCGATGCTTGGGCAAGTGTCGGGGCTTCGGGGGACGACTCTACTCATGCACAGCGGCGGAGGGCGTGTCGGTATTTGAATTGGATTTCAAACTCTAGCTCAGGCCTTGTCATCGCACCGGCGAGCTGCCGGTGGGCGAATGCATCCACCCCAGGCCCCCAGCGCCCAAGCCCAGAACGCAGCTCAGTGCGCAGCAGCGCGAAGGATCTGGTGTGCATCCGCGCTCCCGGTGGGTGGCCTTGACACCAGATCCATGCCGGTGGGTGGCCTTGACCAGGCCTGAGCAGCTCATGAGTGGAGGCAGCCTCTGTCTCTGGACGAGCAGCGCTGGATCGCCAAACCAGCAGAAGAGCGCCGAGCAGCGGCGCCGAGTCCGTGAGGCCACTCCGATCGATCGTTACGTAGAAGCTCATTGGCGACTGCACTCCAATGGTTCAACGAGAACGGCGCACCTAAAAAAAGGCATTCCCAAACGTCATGCATGAAATAAATCAATCAATTACAGTCCGACTTAATTAATTTGAACCATCCTTCAAATATATAATTAATATTTCAAAAAGAAAGTGCATAGCCTGGGACGCGAGTCAGAGCGTCTCTCTCGACAGCCACGCTCGAGGGGCATCACACACAGACGGAGCTCATCCTCGCGATGCTGCGCACGTGCTGTGAGGACCTCTCGATACCTACACTATATCAAACGTCTTGCATTCAACTAATCAGTATCCACTAAATTTGAAGTGGAAATCAATCAATCAAAAACTAATTCCAAAAGAAGGTGCACCGCTTCGGACACGAGTCAGCCACGCTCGAGGGGCATCGTACGGGCGGAGCTCATCCTCGCGATGCGGCGCATGTGTTCATGAGGACCTCTCGTTCGAGTGAGGACCTCAGATCCGTATGAGGACCTCGATCTCCGTGAGGACCTCTTCTGACTCAGCACTGTGTGCTGCCCCGACCTCCAGCCACTACACTTCAGACTGTGCTCGCAGACCGCGAGGGAGCTCCTTCCCGCTCCTGCTCCACCTCCACTGTCCACTTCCCTAGCTAGCCACTCCACCGTCCCTCGGTCAGACCTCCTCCGTATTGGTGTGTGCAGCGCTGGAAATGTTGGCTGTATGAGAGAAGATATGATGATTTGGGGTGCGTGACTCGATGGTGCAGGATGGGCAACAGCAACTTCTCTCTGTCTGGTCGTATTATCGTGTCGCCATTTTTTGATCCAAAAAGACGTTCGGCTAGGTGGCGGGCTCGCCTCTTGCGTCGAAACGTGGATATGCGATGACGCAAATGACCACGGCGGTTCCAATGACCTCCACCCCCCTTCCGATGGTCGAGGAGGCCGCCGAGATGTCGTGACGGCCCAAGAAGGCAACACGGCGCGGGGAATGTGGTGAGGAGAAGGCCTCTCACTCCGGCACCCGCACATTTTTCGGGGACACACCCGGGCTTTCGCTGCGCGGGCGCGGGCGGGCGGGCGCGGGCGGGCGGGCGGGCGGCAGCCCAGCCCAGCATTTTTTAATTTTTGGCCATCTTGGGGACTAGCGGAGAGAGAGAGAGATCAGTCGACGCACTAGATGAGAGAGCTCCTTCCGGGTTTGTGTGTACATTTGCCTCCATTAAGCTCCGTCTACGTGTTCCACTCCTCAAAGCCGTACCAAGAGAGAATCTCGAGACCAGAATGGTTGGTGTTGGGTAGTAGGGGTAGAGGTCTCAGATGCTGGGCGGTGGAGCCATCCGATCGGAGCCAGAAGACCTCCCCAGCGGGTATCCGATTTGCTGTTTGGTAGAGAGAGCGCTCCGACCCTCGCTCTACGCTCGCAACTCTCAACCTCCGCCGTCCTCCCGCCCTGGTCGCCCGCCCCCTCGTCTATTTCCGCCGTGCGGGCGGCGGCTGCGGTCGGCTCGAGGATCTGCCTTGCCCCATGTCGTCGCTCGCTGCGTGCGGCGGCGCGACGGCGCAGCTCGAGGGCAGTCAGCGCGAGGCCGAGGGCGGCGACGCATGCGGCGAGGGCGGGCGGCATCCAAACGCGCGCCATCCGCTTCTCGCAGCCGAGAGCGGCGGCGGCGAGGGCGAGGCAGCCCGCCCCGCAGGAGACCAAAGCCGTAGAGAGAGAGAGAGACGACAGAGAGAGACGCATAACGATATCGGCTGATATCAGAGGACATTTCACAAGATTGGATCACTGTGCCTCTGTCGACATATGTGGTAAGACAAGGCACAAACATGATATCACGTCGGAGCACGGAGGGTGGGAGGCGGCGGCGGCGGCAGCTGCGGGTGGCGCGCTCAAAAGCACCGCTGCGAATAGGACGATGCGTTCGAGAGCACGCTCGATATCCACCTTGTTCGTCACACAGTTGTGACCTCTGTCACAGACCTCGGTGTTGTTTCCAGAGGCGAGCCCGCGGTTGGATATATAAGAGATCGATACATCGTAGGAAGTGTAAGACGATTCACGGTGAGCCTGTCCATGCACCTTCATACCTCTGTAAATTCATCAGTCAATGTGGTTGATATCTCTCTCTCTCTCGTTGGTGAACAATCAATCGAACTCAACAGTGCACCTCTTGCTTGGTTGGGCGAGTCAGAGCATCTCTCTCTCAAACAACGGTCAGGGCATCGTACAGACGGAGCTCATCCTCGCGATGCGGGGCACATGCTGCGTCCATGAGGACCTCAGATATGTTCCGTGAGGACCTCTCCGTGAGGACCCTCTTGTCACTCCCCACTGTGTGGCTGCCCGGACCACTACAGACAGTGCTCAGACCGAGGGTAGGCCGACGGTAGACGTGGCTCCTTCCCTCCTGCTCCCATCCGCATGCGCCTTGCTTGGTCAGACCTCGGAGCAGCGCGGTTCTTGGATGCTGTCAGTGAGGACCTCTGTCTGTGAGGACCTCTCCTCACTCACCGCTGTGTGCTGCCCCGACCTCCAGCCACTACAGACAGTGCTCAGGAGACCGAGGATAGGCCGACGGCTCAGGCGTGGCTCCTTCCCTCCTGCTCACAGCCCACTCCCGTCCCGCAGAGGTTGCATGGCGCCTCGGTCAGCTCGGTGTGCAGCGCGGTTGAATCAATGAGAGATGATATGTATGAACATTGTAGAAACTGTTGTGCGCCGAGGAGACTGTGAAGAGCCTTGCTAGTTACAGTTTTTGTTTTTGATTTTTCATTTTTCACATTTTTCCGCGAAATGCCCCGTTGGATTTCTTTTTTCCTAGTCAACCGTAATGCGCGCCCCGGCCATCGCGCCGCTTGGCTGCCTGCTCGCCTGCGCGGCGCATGCCGCCGCCACTCCGGCCACCGCACGTTCATCCGCCCACGTCGTGATGCGCGCCGGACCGAAGCAGCCCGGAAAGAGACGCCTCGAGACGCGGGGCGAGATCTCCGCCGCGCGAAAGGCGGTCGGCGGCCGAGTGCTCGCCGATGGCCGCGTCGCCTCGATCCTCCACGCGCGCACTCGCTCCGCGTTGTACGGCCGCGTGCCTCTGCCACCGCAGCCCCACGCCTACCGCACCGGCCTCTCCGCATCCGACGAGGCCACGTGGCTCTCGGTCGTCGACTCGCACTTCACCTTTGCTCCGCTGCAGCCGGCGGACGAGGCGGCGTTCGTCGCCGCGCTGGCCGCCGTCGGCGCGAGTCGGGCGCAGGGCCTCGGTCTGCGCAACGGCCTCTACCGCGAGCGCCAGGCGGCCGCTGAGCCTCGGCTCGACGGCGCAATCTCGCACGCAATCTCCAACGGCCGAGGTTCAATCTCCGACGGGCGAGAGTGCGCGTGGCCCTGCCTGCCTGAGGTTGCTGCGGCGTGCGGCGCGCCGCCGCTGGCGGTGCTGCGCCGCATGGTCTCCCGCGAGGGCCGCCTCTCCCCGCGCCTCTCTGCCGCCCTCGTCGAGGCGATCATCGAGGCGCATGACAGGTGAGCTGACCTCGAGATATGGGGAGATCTGGGGAGGCGCACCACAGATGAACTGATCTCGGCTGCACCTCAGCTGCACCTCGGCCGCACCTCGGCTGCACCTGGAGGACAACAACGGATGAGAAGAAGCGTCAACTCTCCCGCCAGGCGGCGGGCCACCCTGCAGCGCCACTCCAATCAGACCCTCACGCCGTCGTCCGTGCTGCGCTCGGCGCGGCTGCGGCGGCTGCGGCGCCACCCGCGCGTTGCGGTGCAGACGGCCTTCCGGCGGCTGCAGGGCGGCGGCGGAGGCCTCTTCCTTCCCGCGGCGGCGTGGGCGTGTGAGAACGACCTGCAGGGCGCCGCGAGGAAGCACGAGGCGCGAGATGCAGCCGAGATACGACCGAGGTGGCCGAGAGGTAGCCGCGAGGTGCAGCCGAGATACAGCCGAGGTACAGCCGAGGTACAGCCGAGGTAGAGCCGAGAGACAGCCGAGACACAGCCGAGAGAAAGCCGCGAGACAGCCGAGATACAGCCGAGATACAGCCGAGATACGGCGGAGATACGGCGGAGACACGGCCGAGGTCTTGCCGAGGTGTAGGCGCAGAGGCGGAGCCGCGCAGTCGAGCGGCTGGTCGTGCGGCGGCTGCGCGTCGCGGGTGCGTGGCGAGATGCAGCCGAGATACAGCCGAGATGCAGCGGAGATGCAGCCGAGATACAGCCGAGATGCAGCGGAGATGCAGCCGAGATACAGCCGAGATGCAGCGGAGATGCAGCCGAGATGCGGGTCGTGCGCCGATTCGCTCCGCTGCATTCTCGCCCAATCTCGCCCAATCTCGCCCAATCTCGGCGCACCTCGGCTGATGACCGCCGCACGCCGCTAGGAGTGCGCGGGCGGCGCGAGGACGCGCTGCAGCGCCGCACGAGCACGCCCGACTTCATCGTCGACGGCTTTGGAGCGGGCGGGGAGGCGGCGGGGGAGGCGACGCAGGCGGCGGGCGGCGCTGCGGGTGCGGCGGCGGCGGCGGCGGCGGCGGCTGGTGCGTCTGGATTGCGGTGAGTTGGCGTGGCGCACTCCTTTGGCCGGGGGGGGAGGGAAATAAAGAATCACTCCCGCGACTATGAGCCGTAGGTGGGTGGACGTGAAGCATTCCTTTGGGCGGGGCGACAGCGCGCGGGTGAGAGGTCAGGTGGAGCGGTACTGCACGGACTCGTTGAGACTAATCGAGGCTAATCAGTACTAATTAATACTAAGTTGAGGTCAGGTGGAGCGGTACTGCACGGACTGGGGCCCAGGCTTGCTGCTGCTGCTGCCCGCACTCGATCCTGTAATGAATTATCGAGTGACTGGTTTCAGAATACCTCGTAGGCTTGCTGCTGTACACGCTCGGCTACACCGAGTCCTTTGCCGAGGAGCTGCGCCAGGCGGGCCTTCAGTAGTCTTGATTCGGCGTGATTAGTCTTAATCAGACCTTGCCGAGTGCTCTGATGCTGGCCAGCACTGCCCGGTCTGTCCACGCGAGTAGCTCACTCTCTAATACGTACTCAGTCGTTGCATGGCGCCGCGCCAGGCGGGCCCGGTTTGGGTGTGCGACGCGGAGGCGGCCGCTCGACTGCTGCGCGATGCGGTGGGCGATGCGGCGGGCGGTGCGGCGGCTTGCGCGCCCGCTGTCAGAGAGAATGCTGACTGAGTCACGCATGGCGATGCCAGCGCCAATGGCAATCAGGGGATTTTTATGTGTTGAGAAGAGAAAATCTGAGTACTGAGAGACAAAATCTCGCAAAAGACGTACCTCACGTGTACTGGCTACTGCTGCCGTGCTGCGTACTCCTGTGGTGTCGGAGTGTACCACATAGTAAAGTACCGTTCGGCTTCTCAGCCCAGCCCGAGCGGGTCCCGCGCCGCCCGCGCCGCCCGCGTGCGCTGCCGCTTGGCGTTGGAGCGCAGCGTGCGCCACTCGGCGCTGCCGGCGTGCGCGTTGCAGTGCGCCGGCACCCTCGGCTCGCCGCCCCGCCAGTGGCGGCACGCGGACACGGGCGCGTCGCACGCGAAGCAGTAGCAGTTGGGGCAGGCCGCCTCATTGCCATCGACCGGCGCTGCGACCGGCCTCTCGGCCGCATGGAAGGGGTGGAGAGGGCAGAGCGCCCGCTGGTGCGGCAAGTGCTCGGGCAGCAGGCCTGTGCGGCGCAAGCAAGGGAGGCAGTGAGAGTGCATCTAACAGCATTCATGACGGGGGCGGCTTGGGAGCGCCTGATGCGGCGGAGATCTGCACGTCGCCGCCTGCGAGCGAAGGAGCGGCGGCGGCGGAGCTTTGAGGCGGCGGCGCCACCTCCTCCACCTCGGCCTCCACCTCGTCCTCTCCCTCCTTCGCCGCGGCGGCCGCACGTGCAACCCGCCCCCACGGCCGCACCGAAGGCTTCTCGCACTGCGGGCATGTCGTCACCCACTTCTCGCCCTCACTCCGCTGCGCACACGCGAGGTGGTATGGGGGTGCAGAGCACGACGTGCACTTCAGCGCAGCGGAGCGGCGAACCGAGGAGCCGCAGAACAGGCACTCGTACGAGCCATCATACGGCTCGACCTTCCCCGCGCTGCTGCTGGTCGCGACTGCAGCGTCGCTCGAGGAGGAGAGTGGCAACGCGCCGTCATCGCCGCCGTCGTCACCGCCGCCGCCTCCACCGCTGGAGCCGCCACCGCCGCCGCTGCTGCCGCCGCTGCTGCCGCCGCCACCGCCGCCGACGCGCCGCCCGCCCGCGCCCTTGCCTCGCTTCGCGTCCCGCGCCTTGTCGGTGAGAACCCGCGCCCGCTTGCCTGTGACGGCGGTGCTGCAGGGCCCCTCGTGCCAGAGGCGGAAGTTGCAGCCGAGCGTCTTGCAGCTCGGAGCGCGGAGGGGCGGCGAGGCGGCCTCCTCCTCCTCGCTGCTGCTCTCTGCGGCTGCAGCCTCGCCGCCAGCGCCGCCTGGCGCGCCCTCGTCCGAGTCGGACGCCTCGTCCGCCGCCGCTGCCGACGGCCCTGCCTCTCCTGCCGCCGCCGCCGCCGCCTCGCCAACTGTCCGCGCGTACGCCACCGCCGCCTCCACTGCTGTGCCGAAGGCGCCGATGTAGACACTCCTGCCGCCCACCATGTGCTTCGCCCCGAAGCGGTCAGAGGACTCCTTGACCACATTCTTGTACCCGGTGCTGTTGCTGCTGGAGAGGTGCAAGCGCAAGCCCTCCGCCTCCGTGGCCACTGCTGGAGGCTGGTACTCGCCGACCGCCCGCGCATAGGCCACCGCCGCCTCCACCGCCGTGCCAAAGGTGCCGAGGCCGACATCTTTTCCACCCAAAGTGTGCCTCGCCTGGAAGCGGCCAGAGGCCTGCTTGAACACGCCCTTGTACCCGGTGCTGTTGTTAGAGAGGTGTAAGCGCAAGCCCTCCGCCTCCGCCACCACCGCTGCCGTTCGGCACTCAGCCGGCGCCCGCCCCAGCCCAAGTTCCCCCTCCGGCGCCTCGCACACCCGGCACGCCGGGTCCGGGTGCATCCAGCAGAACCACTCGACAGGCAGCTGGCCGGGCATGCCGCTAGGCAGCCGCCGCCACTTGTCGCAACGGTCGCAAGCGACCCAGAGGCAGGAGGCCGCCTCCTCCTCGCTGCTGCCCGCTGCAGCCTCGCCGCCAGCGCCGCCTGGCTCGCCCTCACCCGAGTCGGACGCCTCGCCCGCCGCCGCTGCCGATGGCCCTTCTCCTGCCGCCGCCGCCGCCGCCTCGCCGACCGACCGCGCATACGCCACCGCCGCCTCCACCGCTGTGTCGAAGAATCCAAGGCCAACCTGCCTTCCGTCCACCGTATGCCGTGCCTGGAAGCGGCCAGTGGAGGGGTACTTGACCACATTCTTGTACCCGGTGCTGCTGCTGCTCGAGAGGTGCAAGCGCAAGCCCTCCGCCTCTGTCGCCACTGTAGGAGGCTGGTACTCGCCGACGGCCCGCGCATAGGCCACCGCCGCCTCTACCGCCGTGTCGAAGGTTCCGAGGTGAACCAGCCTTCTATCCACCCTTTGCTTCGCCTGGAATCGGCCGAAGCAGTACCGCCACACGCCTAAGTAGCCGGTGCTGCTGCTGCTCGAGAGGTGCAAGCGCAAGCCCTCCGCCTCCGTTGCAACTGCTGACCCTTGAGGCTCGGATGCCGCCCAGACCGGCTCGGACGCCGTGAGCGCTTCGGTGCGCGGTGCCAGCGGCATCAGTTCTGTGCGCGCAGAGCCAGCCCCGCCACGGTGGCGTTTGCGACAGCCACTGATTGCGAGAGCTGTGGCTCGCGCGGAGCAGATCGGTGAAAAGAAGAAAAACACTCCGCTTATGGCCCTGCGACCGCGCATCCCCCCAGGGCTAGGGCTCTCTTGCCCGCAACCCGATATCGATCATCCGGCCCGCTGGGTGTGCGCTTCTTACATCTTAGCTCCGGCCCCCTGGATGTGAGAGAGATTTTTAGCAATACCAAACAAGTCGAAGAAGAAGAAAAGAAAAAAAAACAACTCTAACACTCACACGTCATTTGAGGCCTGGAGCCCTGTTCACGCGCGCGCGAGACGTGCAGACAGGGTTTGTGTTGGATGTGTGAGGTTGATATGACTGCACTCCAAGTGCTCCAAGTTCGCACTAATCCCGACCCCCACAAGTGGCACATCGCGTTCTCACCACGGTCGCCGCTCATGGCGCGGCGCGCCTGCGCAACGCGGCCCCGAGAGGGGCCGCCTGGCCACTGCTGCCACTGCGCCGCACGGATTTCACCCCACTTTCGCGACTGTGGCCGTCCAACAGTCTGCCGGCGCGGCGGGCGCATTCGAATGCGCCCGCTGCGCCGGCAGACTGTCAGTGCTATCCCGGGCGGCGCGCCAGCGAGCCCGGACGCTGGCCAGCCGCGAGGACAGCGCCATCGTCATCGGCGTCTCCTGCAGCAACTTCAACAGCACAAGGTAGCCGGGTCGGAGGCCTCCCGCCGAGCTGCCGAGCCACCCCGCACCCGCGCCACCCTGCCTCAGGGAGTCAGTTGAGAGGGTGCGCAAAACCTTACCAAAACTGGCACGGGTCACGCGCCGCTTGGGAGCCGCGGCGCAGCCTCCAGAGACTGCAACGACAGCGAGCATACGCGCACGCGACTAAAAGCAGCTAACTCGTCGAGGGGTTTCCTCAATCAACCGAACGCACTAGGCTGGCGAAAAAACCGGGGCGCGGGATTAGTGCGTCTGGGCACTGGGGCGCAGAGAATTCCTCCTCTCCTTAAAATCCCTGTGGTCCAAGGAGAGGGAGCGGCCCGGTCCAAGTACCTACCTACCTACCTCCAAGTCTTCCAATACGGTTTCGGTGGAGGCCACACAGCACACACACACGCAAACACACACACCACCCGACTCAACACAAAGACAACACAGAACACAGAAGCGTCTCCACGCCGCACACCCACACCCACCGGCGCCACCGCCTCCACGCCGACCAACACCAACGCCTCCCCTGCCGCGCGCCACCGCCGCATGCCTCGCGTGCCTCGCGTGCCTCGCGTGCCTCGCGTGCCTCGCGTGCCTCGCGTGCCTCGCGTGTGCAGCGCCGCAGCGGCGCGGCTCAGATGGGGCGGGTGGAGACGTAGTGGAACTCTGCGAAGTGGCCGAGGTAGATGCGCATCGTGAGCGGCACCTGGCGGAGATGCGGCGGAGATAAGGTCGAGATATGATCGAGATGTGGTCGAGATATGGTCGAGATATGGTCGAACCATGGCCGTGGTACTATCGAGGTATGGTCGAACATGGCCGGGTGTTATCTCGGCGATACCTCGGCTACATCTCGGCTGATCTCGGCGCCTTCCACACGTCCGGCGGCGTGATGGTGTGGCAGTAGTCGGGAGAGAGCGACGAGATGACGACGATCTCCGTCTTGAAGATGACGGAGGCCGCGAGCAGCGTCGCCTACTCTCGGCCAATCTCGGCCAATCTCCGGCTGATTTCGATCTCGAGAGGAGGACGGCCGAGAGGTGGCTTCGCACATCTCGTGCGGCATCTCGTCTCGATCTCGGCTAGATCTCGGCTCGATCTCGCGCCTCGTCGCCCCACGTGACCCCGTGCTGCGACATCTCTCGGATGTACCGGTCCCAGTCCTCGACGCCGACGCTGTCGCGCAGCTTGAAGGACTCGCCTGGTGAGACCACCAACCAGTCTCATTAATACCGCATGTGAGAGTAGGAATCATCATGCAGCTCGAGTCGACTCGCCGACGGAGCCGTCGTCCATCGCTCGGCTGCCTGTTCACACGGCAGAGCTGTGAAGAGACGCAGGGCTCGGGCCGATCTCGGGCCGATCTCGGGCCGATCTCGGGCCGATCTCGGGTGAATCTCGGGTGGATCTCGGGCCGAACGCTGCAATCTCGGCTGATCTCGCCCAATCTCGCCCAATCTCGGGTGTATCTCGGGTGTATCTCGGGCCGAATCTCGCCGTTCTCCCTCAGCCACTGCACGGTCTTCTTCCGCATCGAGATGGCCGACCAGCCGCTGATGCCTACTAATTAAGCCGATTTGATGCGGCAGCCTATTAATTAAGCATACGGCCGACCAGCCGCTGATGCCGAGCTGCTCCAGCTGGTCGGTCAGCGCGTGGAACTGGCAGTTGTTGTCTCCAGGCACGTCCTTGATCTTGAAGCCGCGCAAGCCTGCTCAACCAACAGCAGGACTAGTGAGTGATGGTGTACTGACCAGGCACGTCCTTGCTCTTGAAGCCGCGCAAGCCTATCCAACCAACAGCAGGACTAGTGAGTGATGGTGTACTAATCAGACACGTCCTTGATCTTGAAGCCGCGCAAGCCTGATCAACCAACAGCAGGACTAGTGAGTGATGGTGTACTGACCAGGCAAGGATCTTGAAGCCAGGCAGGCCCAGGTGGCGCGAGAGGCGCGAGCGAGCGTCCTGCGGTCCCTGCCCCATCCGCTCCCTCTGGCTCTTGATCTCTGCCGACGTCTGCCGTACCCGCGGCACCTGCAAGCCGAGATGCAGCCGAGATACAGCCGAGATGCGGCCGAGGTGCGGCCGAGGTGCAGCCGAGGTGCGGCCGAGATACAGCCGAGATACAGCCGAGAGGCAGCCGAGAGGCAGCCGAGAGACAGCCGAGAGGCAGCCGAGAGACAGCCGAGAGACAGCCGATATGCAGCCGAGAGGCAGCCGAGAGGCGGCGGAGGTGGCAATATTGAGATGCAGCCGAGATACAGCCGAGGTGCAGCCGAGGTTCCGCCGAGATCGGCACCTCGCGTAACCCCCGCCCCCCCTCGCCCCAGCTGCCGCGACCCGGCGTCGGCGGCGCAGCGGGCGCCGCCGCCGGCGCCGCATGCATGCCGGGAGGGTCGGGGGGAAGCATCGGGCCTGCGGGCAGCGGGGAGGCAGCGGAGATGTGGCGGAGATGTGGCGGAGATGTGGCGGAGATGTGGCGGAGATGTGGCGGGGA